TCCGATGGCTCGAGACAGCAATGGCGGAAAACCACGGGATGGATCAAAAAAAGAAGAAAGGGAAACTCCGCAGAAAGAAAATTTACTGGAACTGAGATAATAATATAGATAAGGTTATAGGGTACATGTAGTAATAGATTATAAATAGAGGAAAAACAACCACATCACAACAAAAAGTTTTTGAAAGTTTTAAATTTTCAAAATTAAAAAAAAAATTTTGAAAAGTAATTAATTATTTAAAATTCTTAGAACTATTGTTTGTTATACCTATTTAGATTAAAATATGGAAAGATGAATAAGATTAAATTAAAAAAATTAAAATATTTATAAAAAAGAAAAGAAAAGAAATGCCTTAAGAGAAGGAAGTGCAAGTAAAAGCTCTTTGAAGAATTTTTTTGTTTCAAGATGTTACTAATATTTAGATAGACTTAATTTAATTAGCTTCAGTAGGTGTCTTAGATTTATAGTTATATTTCTGAAATTCAGAAAGAAAAGGAAAATATTGAAAGAAATGCAACTGTTTTAAAATATGGGCAACTGAGAAACGCGGTCAAAGGCTTTGATAGACGACTCGGAAGATTTTTAAAAGAAGAGGACAAGGAAGAGATAGATGTACCCTTTTTTTGACTTAGACAGCATAATAGCTGCTACAAGATCATTTTCCTCAGCTTGCCAAACAAAGCTTGGAAGAGGAGGCCTGGTTGGGCCTGTTCTTACAAGGTAATTTTTTCAAGATATGCATTACAAAGTTTTTTTTTTCTGGCTAATGCGTAAATTGATGGTGAAAGACAAGTAATGCGTCAGGCACATTTCCCAGGAGTCAGGAAATTGCCTATCAAGAGACTTTCAAGTTGTTTCCTGGACAAGGACTAGAAGAATTTAAAAATGAGGTTGTGCTGATCGCTAGACTTCAACATCAGAATCTTGTAAGGCTTTTTGGGGTATTTGTTTCACGGAAATGAAAAGATTTTGCTCTATGAATATAATGCCTAATAAACAAGCTTAGATTTCTTTATATTTGGGGTAAGTGCCTCAAAAAGGAATTTCCTCATTCTTCATTGGCAAAAAGTTCGGTATGTTCAGAATTGCTTAATCTTTTTGGTATGATTGGAAAAATGTTCAAGATCGCAAACGCTTTCAGTCTGCTTCTGAATTGGGAGATAGACTTCACATTCATGTCTTGGAGTGCGCTCGAGGGCTTCCTATTATCTCCACCAGATTCCTAGATTGGGTTAGTTTAAGAGATTTTGAAAAAGCCAACATTTTACTGGAATGCAGAATGAACCCAAAATTTCTGATGGGTTTGGGCTTTAGCAGGATATTTGGAAGGCAAACAACACAGAAGGAGCACAGAAAAGAGGTTATGGGAACTTAGTCTAAGTTTCACATCAATGTAGTTATAAATTTTGACAGTACCTGAGTAAATTCCTGGGAACCCTAATATATTAGATTATTTTAAGAAAGGTAATACAAAGAAAAGCTTGAATTATATGATAAATTTTGAAAATGCATGCAGTGGCTATATGTCTCCGAGTATGCAATTTAGATACTATTCTCGTTAAATCAGGATGCCTTTTTAGTTTATGGAGTAGTGGTGCTGGAGATTCTAAGCGGAAAGAAGGAGCCACCGCGCGTTTTAAAGCTAGAAAAAGAATTGAACCTTTGACTACTGTAAGTTGGGATAGTTAGTTTAAGTCTAATTTAATGGTTTTCTATTTTCTGGTAAATGTAGGACTGTTACCAAATTATGTAAATTGGAGCAGGTAGGCATGGAGATTGTGGAGAGCAGATAAGGCATTGGATTTCTTGGATGGGACAATCAGTCAAAGTGTTGAGGATCGCAATGAATTTATCAAGTGGTCTAACATGTTTGGCTTGTATGTGTACAAGAAGATCCTGCTGATGTCCCAAGATGTCAATGTTGTTGTCATGCATACAGTTAGCTGAAGTTGCAACCTTTGCCAATCCTTAGGCAGGCCAGCTTTTGTTGAAAGAAAGGCCTTTCTGATACCTGCTTCTTCATCAAGTAGCAAGAAATAAACATGTCCTGGGTCCTGTTTGAATCTGGAGAATGTAGATGAAAACGTAAACAATATAAACCCAGAGAATGAAGAGACTCTTCAAAAATGATTTCAATTAAGATAGAATAGAGATATTTACTTACATTTTTGCTTAGCTTATCTAATTTAGAAGGCTCATTAGCACTGAAAATATGCCAGCTCAAAACCAAAATACAATATAAACTAATAATTTCTATACACAACGAAAAAGAAAGAAGATGGTAGTGACTTCGAGAAGAGTGTGATGTGTGTCAAGTAATGAAGCACATATTGGTTACGAGGATCTACATAATTCTAAGTCAAAGAGAAGGGCTTGAAAGAAAATCAAGGTTAATTAACATGATCTAAACTGTGGGGTTTTGAATCTTTTTTAACTTAGTTTTAATTTTAATCTAAATAATTGGGCTGTTTAAACCTTAGAGCCATTATGTTTCATTTAGGTTTTCAGTATTGGTAAGGATAGAAAGATATCAATTTTACTTATGCGTTTTATGTAAGCTAGTTTGTTTTTATGACGTGCATTGCATATTTATATAAACTCGTGATCGTTCATGCCTCATTTAGTTT